CACACACACACACACACACACACACACACACACACACACACACAGTATTTGCTCTCTCTCCTCCTACCTTCCCCCTCTATCTTAGTCCAACTCAGAGAGCAAAAGAAGCTCTTTTTTTTTCATGGCAGTTAGTGAGCCTCAGACTGAAAAAGCTCCAAAACATTCCTCTGAGCAAGAAGACTGAAAAGCACTCAGAGGCAAAAGCCGCAGGAAAAAGAGGTTTGAGGAGGAGTATGAACAGTTCATTATGGCCATTATAATGCACAAACGTGAAATCTTAAAAATGACAAAGGAGCTTTTACTTACGAAAGAGTACCTTTTTGCTAAACAATCTCTGGCTCTCATATATACAACGTCGTCAATTGCATGAGGGATGTTTTCCTATGTGGGGGCAAGTGTTGGCGTTCATCCCATAACAGAAGGAAAGTTTCCAAATGTCTTCACCAGTTGTACTTAAGTGAAAACGCATGGTGAAACCTGCATCATCGAAAAGACAAAACGAATGAGAAATATACTAGCGATAAAACATTACAGAGATGTGAATAGTGGTCCATAAAAGTGATGAATCAGACAAATATCAAATTGCAAAACCTTTTTCATGGCACGCACAAAGAAAATGACTGTCCATAAAAATGCTGAATCAGCTCCAGATGGCGGCATGAGGAGCCAAAACAAACAACGGAGCAGCAACAGTGTCTTAAAGATAATGACAAAAGGCCAAAAAGTGGGTGACTACGACTGATTTAGATCAGGAGAAGAGTAGAAAGTGCCAAACTGTAGACAAAGCCATGGATGCTGAAAGTCTAATCATTTGATGACAACCCTTAGTCCTGCTGTGCCACAAAGACAATGTAATCTATTTTAAAGACCAGCTTTCAATACTAAGTTCTAATTATGTGCACAATTTTAGTGTGCTGCCCTCAGACGGTTTGAGGTCACTGGTCCCTGTCACCTTCCACACATTCACATTTAGACTTCTCCCTCATCGGCTAGTCGTCTGACAGCTGATGCTGACGTGTCAGATCCAAGCGGAAGAGAGAGGCAGGCTCACATAAACCACACATGCATCATCAGTAACAGTTCTCTGCAGCTGCAGAGATTACAACAAATCAACAAGGAAGGACGCACAAATGCAACAAAACAACAACAAAGAATAAAAACACATCTCAACTTCCGGTAAATACTGTCATGGCAAAGACCATTACAAAACTGAAAAATGAATTTGGTCCTGAAGAAGACTGACTGTGTATTTGGAGAACGAAGACAAATGGTTTTAGTTGATCTGTGGCTGCGATTGTCTTTCAATGGGAAGACCAAAGGAAATATACACCAATCAAAAATTTAAATGTCGGCATCAGGGAAAAAGGCGAGGAGTTGTTTTGTAAAACTGATTTTCTGTTGAACTTTTCCAACTGTGATCAAATTTAATTCCCAGTAGATCCATAAATGCTCTTCATGGATGCTTTGGGAGAAGAACTGTGTGTAAAAAGAATGATCTGATTTGTCTGGTGAGAAAATACCTTGAATTGTCTTGACAACAGAAAAGACGAGGGATTCAATTTAAAATCTAAATATCTGCTGCGCTCTACACAGCCCCTCAGCACTTAAAAAAATCTTTTTGGTTTCAAAATAGACAACATAAACGCCACAACAGGTTTTTCTTTTTACAAGTCAGCACATTGAAATCAGCCTCTCCGGCGTTGGGTCGGATCCAGCCTCGGGGCTGGTCAGACAGTCGCTCGCTCTGCTACTCTGGCTGCTCATTCAGCTCCATGTCCGACACCAGGATGTTCTTCTCGGCCTGCTCGGAAAGGCTGGAGCTCGTGCGGCTGTAGCGTGCCCCATCGTACGATCCCCGTGACCCAACAGTTCGCCGGCGGTACAAGTAGATCACACCGACGATCAGCACCACCAGCACCAGGCCCGAGACTATGATGACAATCAGAGTGGGCAGATGGTCGCCATCCACTAGGCAGAGACAGAGGATGGAAATGTAGATTAGCCAACATACAAATGGTTAAATTTCAAGGACACACACAAACATTGCAGCTGATGATCATACTTACATCTTACATCTGAGGTCTCAGCACCTGTAAATGACAGAAGAGAAAGTCCATTGATTAATTGACCTTGTTTATAGTTTAATAATAATTTTGATGGTACTTTTTTACACGCTTTTCGGTGTTTCTTTATTTGGAACCCATGCAAGGGCGGACACAGTTTATATCATTATTGACATTGTACAGGCTCCTGAACACAGATCAACATCTTCTTGGACTTGGACTTATCAAACACGAAAACAATTTCTTTTTCTCTTGTTTCGTTGGCTCGTCTGCGACTCAGACTCAACAGACTCAACTCAGATGATGCGGTCTCGTGTGAGTGCTTACTGCGTGGTCGTTTGCAGATGACCCCGTGCGTGCGATTTCTGCACGAGCCCGGCTTCCACAGGCCACTGTTGCTCTGGATCCAGAAGCAGGAGTTGGGAGACAGAAAGGAGAACGCAAGATCGTGCGCCTCCCAGTTGGTGTATGACATCTCCATGTCCTCGCTCCACACTAGACCCCTACCTGCAGCGGGAACACAAGCGCACATAGCCGGAGACATAAACAGACTTTCACTTTATCTTAAGGAGCGCACATTTTATAGCATGCTGAGTCATAAAGGTTTCCAAGATTGGGTTAAGTTCTTTCCATTAGCTTATCAAGCATGTTTCTGTGCATGTCAAATTATTTAATTAAGTAGTAATTATGCTGTTTAAATAAATTAACTTGTTGAAGATAAGGCACCTTGCTATCACATTGAGAGAAACGGTCT